ATCGCAAGAGGCCTTGCATCTCTCTGCTGTTTTTCTTTCGATATATTAACGAGAAAGTTAGACATTAACCAGGTGCTAATCTTGATTGGTCGATGTGCTCTCGTGGGGAGTCCTAGTTCGCGGTAAATTCAAACTAAAAATAGACTTGTCTGTGAAAATGCCATGACAAAAATATAGAGCAGTTGAAGGCTCCAAGTAATGGGCTCCTAACTCCTCTTATGCCTGAGGATACGCCCCAAGTTAAACAAGTGCTCAATTAAACTTGAAAAATGATCAGAAATGCGACGCTGATCGAAAGTCCAGGAACACCAGTCCATCCATGACAAAGTGATGGCACACAGGTATCAATCCACCCGTTTTTAGTAGATCAATAATAAAAATACCGTTTCTACACTGACCGGCCTGTTGGTCTAGTGGCATGATTCTCGCTTAGGGTGCGAGAGGTCCCGGGTTCGACTCCCGGACAGGCCCGGTTGTGGGCTCTTTTGGTCAAAACCATTTGGAAGTTGTCAAACTTTCCCTGAAAAATGTATGGAAATTGTATTACCATACGTTGTGTAATTCATATGTATTCATTTCCTTGTTCTCCAAGAGCCCTAAACCTTTGCGTTTCTTCTTTTTTCAATGAAAGCTTTCGTGTATTTTAGTTATGAAAATATTTCCTATCGAAGACTCGCCTTATGCTTCTGAAAGACAGGAAATGGCTGAACACGGGAGGTGAAATGTCTTTTGTAAATCAAAATCAATTTCCATGCATCTTACTTTTTTTTCGGTGAGCTCAAGGATCAGTTATTGACTATTGGGAGGGAGGGGGGGGGAAAGGGGCAGAGAATATTTGAGGATCATATGGTTTTTAGGGAGGGCGGAGGGGGGATCAGAAAGGCTGTATTCTGGGTTGTGGTTTCTGGTTAAATGTGTATCTCCGCACTTCGTTTCGTTTATGTGTTTCAGGAAAGACCCCAATGAGCAGATTTTACTATCCTAACGTTGTGGGAAAAGGACAAGAAGTTAAAATGCAGCGGCGGGGTCCAGTTTTGACGCCAACTGTTGTTTTAACATCAAACATGTCGAAATTAAGTCTATGCATTTCAGGGCCTAGAGACAATCTGTGCTCTGGAGGCCTGTAGTGTAGTGGTCATCACATCCGCCTAACACGCGGAAGGTCGCAGGTTCGAGCCCTGCCAGACACATAGTGAATACCTTTTGTAGTCACCTTTTTTCCTCCTTTTATAAAGGCTTATTATGTCGCAACGCGTGGCTCATTTTTTCTTACGCTTTGTTTTAACGTAGGATATCTCTCAGCAGATTAAGCAATATATATAATCTCTGTTATCGTATATTTTGTTTTTAGCTTTAGTCATCTTAAAACGTTCTACGCTTTTGAAACATCGAGACTTAGTGGCTTGCGTGGTTGCTTATATTTCCTGTTGGACAACATGGTTATGACAGCGCAAAGCACACGACTAGGGTACGTTGTCCATGCACAGAAGTTTGACCGCTGTGTGCTTTGTTCTACTCTGGTTTAAGTGCAAGCATAATTGTGAACCAAAATCTGTTACGTCACCGGTCAGCGGACAGACTACTAAGCAATAATCAAAATGGTTCCGTCTTTTGTTATACTCATTATAAGTGTAAGCATTACTCATCTTTAAGCGAACTTCGAACAACAATACACTCTTAGGCGTGAATTGCCTCATACATAAAGAGGACAAAACTTAAGAGATGAACCTGTAACAAATTTGGACTGAGACAGAATTAAAGACATCAGTGCGCAGGCTAAAAAATAAACTTAAATTGATTTAATTCCTACAGAGGGCACCCTTTTTCATCAGGTGAGTCTCGGCAACAGAAAGGACTAAAGACGTATGAAATTTTAATAAATCCACTTATTAACGAAATAGTATATACACCATATATACATCGGTATAGTGGTAAGTATCCCCGCCTGTCACGTGGGAGACCGGGGTTCGATTCCCCGTCGGGGAGACGCATATCAACTCTTCCCAGGACGGGTGTAGCATTTCACTATGGTATCACCAGCGATCCATTGAGGATAAACTTTATCTCCCCTTATAGCAGTAAAGATTGGAGTAAATTTGATCCAGGTTCTGCTATTGATCGGATCCTTTTTGAGCTGGTAGAGAGAGAGTTTAAAGCTGTTTATGTATTAAAAAATTGTTCTTCGTCCTATTGAGTTTCCCTCAGAGAAAGATGGTTTTTTTGTCTTGTCATAAGCGTAGGAAAACGGAAAAGTTCTGAGTCCTCATGAGAAGCTAAACCTTAAATCTTCGTATTCCGCCCTCTGATTCTCTACCCCTCAGCCACAAGGACACAACGCTGCACTGGGTCATCGCTAGGTCCACATGTGACATGTGTCCTGCATACTGCTAGGATTAACAATGTCCAAAGGGTCCTGCATGCTAATAGAATAAGAAAGATAGTAAATACTAAGTTTGGTAGTGAGATGGAGAAAGATGTTTTTTTTGGTCTCGTCATGAGCTTTTGGACAAAGAAAAAGTTCTGAGTACCCTTGAGGAATTGAGTTTCCCTTGTTTAGGCTCGGCTATTTGCCACCAGTTTTCTGTTGACTTGTGTTTGAGAAGATTCAGGCAGTTGTTGTTTTTTTTAACTCGATGTTGAATGTTTGTGATTTTCTGTTTTTTTCTGAGGCAGTGAGCTTTATTTCGGTCTTCATTATTTTTGAACCACTCTTGTTACTAGTGTTTTTTGACACAGGAAATGGGAGAATTTATGAAAGTATATTGGATAAAATTATGAAAGAAAAGAAAAACGAAAGGCACCAATGGGATTTGAACCCATGACCTCCTGTTTACTAGACACGCGCTCTAACCACCTAAGCTATGGCGCCTCTCTTGGAGATGGTGTTGTAGAAGGGTTAATTCTTGAGATGGAGCCGGCCAAACAGCTAAGAAGTTTTCTGTGCGTATGACAAAAAACCGAGGAATGCGAGGCTGATATAGAAAGGCAATGATATAAAAATGCCTTAGTTCTGTTAGGACATGCCTTCTAAAAGCTGCCTTCAAAACGTGAGTGGGAACTGGTGCTTGTCGTTGTTGGATGATAGGGAGCTTCTTACAGTTCTTAAACCCAAAGCACAGTCCAGGGATCATTACTTTATAGCAAAGGCAGCGAAAAAATTGAGGAATGTAGTTTACAACCGTCTGTAAACTTCAGGGGTATCATACACCTAAACAAATTCCTGACTTAGTATACAAAATACGAAACTGTGGAAAATTTTCTGACCCCTTATTAATACTAACAACCTATCCCATAGTGATCTACACGAAAGCTGCGGTGGAACTGGGATTAGATGAAACTTTTATGATGAACGACTTCCCTTCTCTTGCTATCGATTTTATTCCAGGAATTGATAAATATAGAATTGATACATTCATCTTTTTTCTTAAGACTCTAAACATTTAAGATTTAGCAATAGCATAAACACAATATATACCCAATATTATATGAACGAATTCCCTTCTCTTGCTATCGATTGATACCGAAAATTGATAGTTATAAAATTGATAGATTCGTCATTTTTCTAAAGACTCTTAACATCTAAGATTTAGCAAACACAATGTACTCCTCAACGGTAATTCATATTCAGTTGTCTCCGTGGCGCAATCGGTTAGCGCGTTCGGCTGTTAACCGAAAGGTTGGTGGTTCAAGCCCACCCGGGGACGGTATTTTACACCTGCACTTCGCATCCTTTTGATTCCTTGTTGCAAGTTTTATATGGCTCATTGCTCGGTAAAAAATACTGTTACAGAGTTACTAGCTGTGGCACTCAGATGCTCACGTGTTGGAAATCAAGTGCAGTCACGCCTTTACCATTAAGCTGAAAAAGACAAAAGTAGACTGGAATACCCCAGTTTGCATGACTTGAAGGGTGGGCTTCATTTCCTGTCTGTCTTCATTATCTTTCCTTCAGTGTGGGATGTACGCACCCTAACTGTCACTTGGAGAAGCTTGTTTCATTGGTGAGATTGATGGTGGAGCAGTGGTGACCTGTTTGCGGGTTTCTTCCTGACGTTGAGGTTGGCTCGCACAGCTCCTCTTTCAAATGCAACTACCTTACCAGGGGCTAGGTAAACTTAGATCTTAGAATTTGGTCATGTTTTTAGAGTTCTGGTACTTTCTTTAGAGCCTTCTGTCCGAGGCTCTCTTCGAGCTCTGACTCCTCTGTAGGATAAAGCTCTCACAAGTCTTGAGTGACAGTTAGTGCATTCCACTGATCGTCTTTGGATTTGTTGATTCCAGTCGTCCGATAAAGAACTTGTTTTGCAGTCTTAATGTACACTCCTTGTAAACCCGCTAAGGTTGTCATTTAGACTTGAACAATGTTCCGAAGTGCGACCATGATCAAAACACCAGTAACACTAGTCTGTTCATGACGCAGGTGTAAATCCACCCGCTTTAATGACAGCAATGAATAAAATACCCTTCCTAAACCACATTTGACATCTTCGGCCTGTTGGTCTAGTGGCATGATTCTCGCTTTGGGTGCGAGAGGTCCCGGGTTCGACTCCCGGACAGGCCCGATAGTCTTCCTTTTGGAAAACCTACCCGAAATTAACAGACTGGTAAGTCAAACTTCCCTTGGATAAATTTATGACGATGGCAATACCATAAACGATAGATCTCATTTTGTTTTCCGTTTCTGGTTCCCCTCAAGCCCTTAACGTACCTCTGAATTTTGTTTTTTCAAGGAGAGCTCCATTACTTCTGCTTTTTTTCTGTTAAGAGTACCGAACCTGGAACATTACCTTAATTCATTTCGTAGAAAAGGTTGTGGTTATTCATCGTGGTGAATAACAGTAAAAGATAAGTTTTTCGTTTGTCTCACGATGTAGTCACGTGTGATGTAGATCGCGACATTTCGACTGCATACTGCTAGTCTTCTTCAGGCAAAACCAAACAACAGTGCCAAACCCGCCAACGAGTTCAAAGCTACTGCGGTTTTACCTTAAGTCAAAGGTCTGTCCGAACAGCTTCGCCGTTGCCTAAAACAACAAGGCGTACGCGCTGTTTTCAAGTCGGAGACTACGCTAAGATCTCAGTTGGTACGACCAAAAGACGCTGTCGACCTGGCTAAACAAGATGGCGTAGTTTACAGGATTCTCTGTGAATGCGGCAAGGTGTACATCGAAGAGACTGGAAGACCTATGCAGACAGAATTTAGGAGCACGATCGAGACATTCGATTCGCCCGTACCGAGACCTCCGCCGTTTCAGAGCATGGCCACAACACCGGACACAAGCCACTCTGGAACGAAGTAAAGTTTATTGATCGTGACCCATATCACTACATGCGCAGGGTCAAAGAGGCAAGTCATATAAGACTTCACCCTAACAACTTAGTGGATAGTGGAATAGAAATTTTAGAAGCGTGGAAACCCACGATAAAAAAAAACACAACAACAGGAGAGCCGTGCCGTGCCGTGTATCATTGACTCTGATAACGATACTCTACAGGCCATATTAAATTAGATTCAAGTGTTTATTACAACAAATGTAACAGGTTTCTGTAGTGTAGTGGTTATCACGTCCGCAGGTTCGAGCCCTGCCAGAAACATACTTTTAGAAAAACTTTGAAGCAAGAGGATAAATGATTAGTTTTACCTCGACCAAGAATGTAACAAATTTCAGATGTTTGTTCTTCCCTCCTGTTAGTAATTATGGAAATCTTCACTTTCCACAAATTTGCCTCCATAAATATGGTGAGGCAGTAGTCATACTATTGTTCAGCTCAGGTTGTAGAAATAGAAAAATGAAATGATGGAACAAGAAGCGTTAACATATATATGATACGACCATACTCCATCCTGGTTTGGTGGCTTTTGATAACAATGGCTAATTCTTTTTTTTAAAGAAATTAAACTCTTAAAAGAAACTCACAAAGACTTTTTAAGGCTCTAAAAGAAACTCTTAAAAAAGTCGGTAAAGCAAGCTTAAAACGGCAGAGAACGCCGGAAACCACAAGGGACAGAAAAGATGTGAGTAAATTCTATTGATTTAACGTGTAAAATGTTCATATTTCGAAATATTTATCGTTGTAAATCGAGCATATTTCGTTCCCTATGCTACTCCTTATGGGTAGTTTCTGTAGTGTAGTGGTTATCACATCCGCCTAACACGCGGAAGGTCGCAGGTTCGAGCCCTGCCAGACACATAGTGAATACCTTTTGTAGTCACCTTTTGTCCTCCTTTTATTAAGGCTTATTATGTCGCAACGCGTGGCTCATTTTTTCTTACGCTTTGTTTAAACATAGGATATTTCTCAGCAGACTAACAAATATAATCCATGTTATCGTATACTTTGTTTTTAGCTTTAGTTATCTTAAAAAGTTGTACGCTTTTGAAACATCGAGACTTAGTGGCTTGCGTGGTTGCTTACATTTCCTGTTGAACAACATAGTTGTGACAGCCCAAAAGCACACGACAAGGGTACGTTGTCCATGCACAGATGTTTGACCGCTGTGTGCTCTGTGCTACTCTGGTTTGAGTGCAGCATAATTATGAGCCAAATCTGTTACGTAACCGGTCAGCGGACAGACTAATAAGCAACAATCAAAATGGCCACTTCTTTTGTTATACTCATTATAAGTGTAAGCATTACTCATCTTTAAGCGAACTTCGAATAACAATACACTGTTAGGCGTGAATCGCCTCCTACATAAAGAGGACAAAACTTAGGAGATGAACCTGAGATCTTCCGCGTGCTTGGTGTATGTGATAATGAGGGAATTATCTGATTCCAAACAACAAACTTGGACTGAGACAGAATTAAGGAAATCAAAGCGCAGGCTAAAAAGAAAATCTTAAATTGATTTAATTCCTACAGGGGGCACCCTCTTTAATTAGCTAGGTAAGTCTTGGCAACAGAAAGGATTAAAGATGTATCAAATACTAATAAATCCATTTCTTAACAACATATGATTTACTCACAGCACAGCTCCTCTTTCAAATGCAACTGCCTTACCAGGAAATTTAGTGTTAACAACTGGGTTGAAAACGTAAATTAGCCACCGTAGAGGGTAAAAAAGCTGACGTTTTGAGCGTTAGCCCTTCGTCAGAGCGATTGGAGGAATTGTGAGTTAACGTTGTGTGTGGATTTATATGCAGAAAGTGGGGCTACGCCATTGGTGGGAATATGGTGACGAGAAAACAGGAATAAATTAGTTGAATGAAAAGCGCAAACGGAATGCTAGATCTTTACTAATAGGGGGGAAAGGAAAAAGGTAACTTACGATTTCCTGGCGTAGCTCCTTGGAAAGTTTCTTCAAGCTTGGCATGGTCCGTTGCTGTGAGGTCTGTGGATAGAAAAGTTCTAAGGCAAGAGTTAGTGGTCGCAGCAAATAAATGACAAATGAATAAAGGGGTAAGTTTCTAAAGAAACTGTGATGCTGCGTCGGTGGGAGAGTATAGCAGGTAATTTAGTGTTAACAACTGGGTTGAAAACGTAAATTAGCCACCTAGAGGGTAAAAAAGCTGACGTTTCAAGCGTTAGCCCTTCGTCAGAGCGATTAGAGAAATTGTGGGTTGTGTGTGGATTTATATGCAGAAAGTGTGGCTACGCCATTGATGGGAATATGGTGACGAGAAAACAGGAATACCAGGAGCTTAGTAAACTTTGAGAAGCTGTTCGCTGTGGTAATACTCCCTGACAATCTCAGATGGCCGACCTTAGATCTTAGAATTTGGTCATGTTTTTAGAGTTCTGGTTCTTTCTTAAGAGCCTTCTGTCCGAGTCTCTGATAACTCTGATAACGATACTCTACAGGCCATATTAAATTAGATTCAAGTGTTTGATATTGCATATGTAACAGGTTTCTGTAGTGTAGTGGTTATCACGTCCGCCTCACACGCGGAAGGTGGCAGGTTCGATCCCTGCCAGAAACATACTTTTAGAAAAACTTTGAAGCAAGAGAATAAATGCTTTAGTTTTACCTCGACAAAAAATGTAACACATTTCAGATGTTTGTTCTTCCCTTCTGTTTATTCATTATAGAAATCTTCCCTTTCTACAAATTTGCCTCCATGAATATGGTGGGGCAGTAGTCATACTATTGTTCAGGTAAGGTTGTAGAGATAGAAAAATGAAATAATGGAACAAGAAGCGTTAACATATATATGATACGACCATACTCCATCATGGTTTGGTGACTTTTGATAACAATGGCTAATTCTTTTTTTTAAAGAAATTAAACTCTCAAAAGAAACTCACAAGGACTCTTTAAGGCTCTTAAAGAAACTCTTAAAAAAGTCGGTAAAGCAAGCTTAAAACGGCAGAGAACGCCGGAAACCACAACGGATGCAAAAGATGTGAGTAAATTCTATTGATTTAACGTGTAAAATGTTCATATTTCGAAATATTTATCGTTGTAAATCGACCATATTTCGTTCCCCATGCTACTCCTTATAGCATGTTGAAATTATCAACGGTTTCTCCGTAAGTTAACACCGAGTCACAAAACATGTAACGCTTACATGAATCAGTCGCCTGCTTTTTATCGAGACGTGAGCTTGGGACGCCTTTGTTCATGTGAATCTGCACTCGAACTATCTCAAGAAGCCTTGCATCTCTCTGCTGTTTTTCTTTCCATATATTAACGAGAAAGTTAGAAATTAACCAGGCGCTAATCTTGATTGGTCGATGTGCTCTCGTGGGGAGTCCTAGTTCGCGGTAAATTCAAACTAAAAATAGACTTGTCTGTGAAAATGCCATGACAAAAATATTGAGCAGTTGAAGGCTTTAAGTAATGGGCTCCTGACTCCTCTTATGCCTGAGGATACGCCCCCAAGTTAAACAAGTGCTCAATTAAACTTGAAAAATGATCAGAAATGCGACGCTGATCGAAAGTCTAGGAACGCCAGTCCATCCATGACAAAGTTATGGCACACAGGTATCAATCCACCCGTTTTTCGTAGATCAATAATAAAAATACCGTTTCTACACTGACCGGCCTGTTGGTCTAGTGGCATGATTCTCGCTTAGGGTGCGAGAGGTCCCGGGTTCGACTCCCGGAAAGGCCCGGTTGTGGGCTCTTTTGGTCAAAACCATTTGGAAGTTGTCATACTTTCCCTGAAAAATGTATGGAAATTGTGTTACCATACGTTGTGCAATTCATATGTATTCATTTCCTTGTTCTTCAAGAGCCCTAAACCTTTGCGTTTTTTCTTTTTTCAATGAATGCTTTCGTGTATTTTAGTTATGAAAATATTTCCTATCGAAGACTCGCCTTATGCTTCTGAAAGACAGGAAATGGCTGAACACGGGAGGTGAAATGTCTTTTGTAAATCAAAATCAATTTCCATGCATCTTACTTTTTTTTCGGTGAGCTCAAGGATCAGTTATTGTCTATTGGGAGGGGGGGAAGGGGCAGAGAATATTTGAGGATCATATGGTTTTTAGGGAGGGCGGAGGGGGGATCAGAAAGGCTGTATTCTGGGTTGTGGTTTCTGGTTAAATGTGTATCTCCGCACTTCGTTTCGTTTATGTGTTTCAGGAAAGACCCCAATGAGCAGATTTTACTATCCTAACGTTGTGGGAAAAGGACAAGAAGTTAAAATGCAGCGGCGGGGTCCAGTTTTGACGCCAACTGTTGTTTTAACATCAAACATGTCGAAATTAAGTCTATGCATTTCAGGGCCTAGAGACAATCTGTGCTCTGTGAGGCCTAGTGTAGTGGTTATCACATCCGCCTAACACGCGGAAGGTCGCAGGTTCGAGCCCTGCCAGAAACATAGTGAATACCTTTTGTAGTCACCTTTTTTCCTCCTTTTATAAAGGCTTATTATGTCGCAACGCGTGGCTCATTTTTTCTTACGCTTTGTTTTAACGTAGGATATCTCTCAGCAGATTAACCAATATATATAATCTCTGTTATCGTATATTTTGTTTTTAGCTTTAGTTATCTAAAAGTTGTACGCTTTTGAAACATGGAGACTTAGTGGCTTGCGTGGTTGCTTATATTTCCTGTTGGACAACATGGTTGTGACAGCGCAAAGCACACGAAAAGGGTACGTTGTCCATGCACAGAAGTTTGACCGCTGTGTGCTTTGTTCTACTCTGGTTTAAGTGCAAGCATAATTGTGAACCAAAATCTGTTACGTCACCGGTCCAGCGGACAGATTACTAAGCAATAATCAAAATGGTTCCGTCTTTTGTTATACTCATTATAAGTGTAAGCATTACTCATCTTTAAGCGAACTTCGAACAACAATACACTCTTAGGCGTGAATTGCCTCATACATAAAGAGGACAAAACTTAAGAGATGAACCTGTAACAAATTTGGACTGAGACAGAATTAAGGACATCAGTGCGCAGGCTAAAAAATAAACTTAAATTGATTTAATTCCTACACAGGGCACCCTTTTTCATCAGGTAAGTTTTGGTAACAGAAAGGACTAAAGACGTATCAAATTTTAATAAATCCACTTATTAACAAA